CTCCGCCCCAGCCCTGTCATTTCGGCACGGCACCGCCCCCCCGCATCTGGCGCACCTCCAGCCAGCGCGCCCTCTCCGCCCGCGCCCACTCCGCACCCTCCCAACCACCAGCCAGCGCGCCCCCTCCGCCCCAGCCCTGTCATTTCGGCACGGCACCGCCCCCTCCGCCCTGACCCCTTTATTTCGGCACGGCACCGCCCCCCCATCCTGAGCGCCCTCTGCATCACCCCCACCACAGCCAACGCGCCCCCCCCGCCCCGACCCTTTATTTCGGCACGGCACCGCCCCCCCATCCCGAGTGCCCCCTCCATCGCCCCATCCACGAGCCAGCGCGCCCCCTCCGCCCCGACTCCTTCGTGCATGTGCAAGAGCCATGGCACGCGTGCCACTTGTTATTACTGCTACCCTTAAGTCGGGCACGTTCCTCTACAGGAGGAATATCCCCAAATAGTAAAAAATGAAGGAATATTCAAAAATAATCAAAAAAATAGTGTGGGGACGACTTTTTGACCATTTTTGAATATTTCCTGTATTTGTTGTCTATCTTTAATTGTTCCTCCAGATTCCGCCTGAAGGGGGACATGCCCGACCTAATGCTACCTTCTCGTGCCGACACGAATGTGCACCTTTTCGCTCTGCCCGGTGCCCGTGGCCACTGGGGCTCCAGCAGTCCGGCCGATGCTGAACACCGGTTGGGCGCAGATTTTGGCCCCCAGGCCGTGCGCCCCCCCTGAGCAAAGTGGCAACATGACGACGACGACGACGACGACGACAACGAGGACCGACAACGACGGCGGACGACCACGGACGATGACGACGGGGGACGACGACGCTGACGACGACGACGATAACGACGACGACGACGACGGCGACGACGGCGACGGCGGCGGCGGCGGCGGCAGCGGCGGCGAAGGCGGCGAAGGCGGCGGCGACGGCGACGGCGACGGCGACGGCATCGGCGACGGCGATGACGGCGACGGCGACAGCGGCCAGCGGCGGCGGCGGCGGCGGCGACGACGACCACGACGACGACGACGCCGACGACGACGACGGCGACGACGACGGCGACTTCGACGACGACTACGATTACGACCACGACCACGACCACGACCACGTCCACCACTTCGATGGCGGTGGCGACGGCGACGGCGGCGACGGCGACTGCGTTGGCGACGGGACCGCGACGACGACGGCTACAACGACGATGACGACGATGACGGCGACGGGGGTGACGACAGCTGTGACGGCGTCTTTGCGCAGTGTAAAGGGCTTGGTTGACCCCACCCCCCCTTGCGGGGAAGATCGAACCCTCCCGTTTCGTGGGGCGTCCGACGACAGCGACGACGACGACGTCGACGACGACGACGACGACGACGGTGACGGCGACGGCGGACGACGACGACGACGGCGACGACGACGGCGACACGACAACGTTGACAACGACGACGACGACGCCAACGACGACGACGACTACGACGACGACGACGACGACGACGACGACGACGACGATGACGACGACGACGACGACGACGGCGGCGGCGGCGGCGGCGGCGGCGGCGGAGACGACTGCGACGACGACGACGACGGCGACGGCGAGGACGAAGACGCCGACGACTTCGACGACGAGGACGACGACGACCACGGTGACGACGACGACGACCACGACGACGACGACGACGACGACGACGACGGCGACGGCCACGGTGGCGGCGACGCTACGGCGAGGACGAGGACTTCGACAAAGAGAACGACGGCGACGGCCACGGTGACGGCGACAGTGACCACGACGGCGGCTAAGACGACGATGACGACTTCGACGGCACGGGCGGCGGCACCGACGACGGATGACGACGACGACGTCGGCGACCACGACAACGGCGACGGCGGCGGCGGCCAGGACGAAGATGTCGCCGACGACTACGACGACGACGACGATGACGACGACCGCGACAGCGATGGCGAAGGCGACGGCGAGGACGAAGATGACTTCGACTACTACGACGTCGACGTCGACGACGACGCCGTTGACGACAACGGCGATGGTGACGGTGGCAGCGACGGCGATGGCCAGGACCAGGACGACGCAGATGACGACGACGACGACGACGACGACGACGACGACGACGACGACGATGACGACGACGACGACGACGACGACGACTCGTTCGGGGGGCGGGGGGTCCGGCCCTCCTGTTTTTTGTTGGGGTTGGCGGTTCCAGATCCTCCCAGTTCTTCTTTGCAGTGTGTGTGTGTGTGTGTGGTGTGTGTGGTGTGTGTGTGTGTGTGTGTCTGTGTGTCTGTGTGTCTGTGTGTGTGTTTATGGGTGTGGGTGTGTGGTGTGTGTGGTCGGGGGGGGGGCCCGGGGAAGGTCCTGGACCTCCCGGCTTGGTCGGAGGGGTGGGGGCAAGTGGCTGGGTTTGGGGGCGCAGGGGGGCCCTCAGTTTCTGGCCCTCCCCTTCGGAGCTGTGCTCAGGGGAGGGGCCCCCTGGTCTCTGAGCCGCCTCTAGTCAGGAGGGAAAAAACACACAGACACAATTAATCGTCGATCCCCCAGAAGATATGGGAAAACATGGGAAGTGGGGGGGAAGACAAAAATCCAGAAACTATCGGAAAATATGGGGAATCCTGTTATTTGTGTGTCAGAGTGAGGGGGCCGAACGGTCATTCACTGTCCCTGGGTGCGTGGCTGATGTGGAATTCCGCGGTGCGGATTCTTGTTGTTGTTGTTGTTTGTTGTTGTTGTTTGTTGTCGTCGTCCCACCCGCCACCCCCCCCAGGCGGACCCACCAGCGACCAACCCCGCGACCCACCGCGACCCACCCGCGACCCGCCCGCGACCCAACCCCGACCCCTCCCCGCGACCCACCCCGCGACCACCGCGAACCTCACCCCGCGACCAACCGCGGCACCCTCCCGCGACAACCCCCCCCCCCCCCGGCGGCCCACCCCGCGACCCACCCGCGACCCACCCGCGACCCACCCGCGACCCACCCGCGACCCACCCGCGACCCACCGCGCGACCCACCCGCGACCCACCTTCGACCCAAACCACGTTCAAGGTACAAACCACAATTTTCGGCGCCTGCGGCGGGCTTTTTTGCATTCCTTCCAAGTGGAGAGCCCGCGACACATCCCGTGACCAACTCGCGACCAACCCGCGACCCAAACCACGTTCAGGGTACAAACCACATTTTTTCGGCGCCTGCGGCGGGCATATTTTGCATTCGTTTCAGGTGGAGAGCCCGCGGCCCACCCGCGACCACGTTCAGGGTACAAACCACATTTTCGGCGCCTGCGGCGGGCATCCTTTGCATTCGTTCCCTGTGGAGAACCCGCGGCCCACCCGCGACCCAAAACTCGTTCCGTGTACGAACCATTTTTTTTGGCGCTTGCGGCGGGCTGCTTTTGCATTCCTTCCAGGTGGAGGTGGAGAGCCCGCGACCCACCCGCGACCTAAACCACGTTCACTGAACAAACCAATGCCGCACAAGCGCGGCGGCGGATTCTTGCATGCCGTCTGAGCCCGCAAGGACTTCTTCACGCCCCGCACATCCACGCCAGCCCGTCCAGCAACTTTGCCCTGGCGAGTTGCCTTGATCAGAGAAGGCGGGGAGCATAAAGTGGAAAAAAAATTGCGTTGCAGTTATCTTGGGAAAGGAGGGGGAGGCAGGATGAGTAAACAGGGGACGAGGAGAACGCGGAAGAAGAGAGGATGTCAGGAGAACGTGGAAAAAGAAAAGGAGGAGGAGCAGGAGGACGAGGGGGAGGAGGGGGAGGAGGGGGAGGAGGAGGACGAGGAGGGGGAGGATGGGGAGGATGATGATGATGGACGACAATGGGAGGACGATGATGGAGGCCGATGAGGGGGAGGACGACAATGGGAGGACCATGATGAAAAGACGAGGGGGGGAGAAGGAGGACGAGGAAGAAGATAAGGAGGAGGAGGACGAGGTGGAGGAGGAGGATGACGATGACGATGAGGACGAGGAAGAGGAGGAGGAGAAGGAGGAGGAAGAGGAGGAGGAGGAGGTGGAGGAGAGCGCCATCGACAAGGAAGGTGGGGGCCACGAGGTCCGCCGGCTCGACGACGCCCGCGTCGCCCGCGCCCGCCCCCTCACTCTTATCCGCAATTGCGGGGTGCTGTAATATTTATTTGTGTGTCCCAGGGCCCCTTCATGCAGACTCTGTGCATGCCAGCGGTGGTGGGAGGCGCTCCTGCGCTGTTTTCCTCCTCGAGCTGCGCGCGCGGAGCTGCGCCGGCTCGCTCAGGGTGGCAGCTCTGCCGACGGGGGGTCTGGAGTTGCCTGCCGTGCCTGCCTTGGCATCGCTGGGACGTGTGCATTTTTTCTCGGCGAGAACCATCGAGGACCATCCTGGACCATCGAGCAACAAAAAACAAGCACGGTACCGAAAAATGCACGGGGAATGGACGTCCGAGCGACGGCAGGCTGCCCCCCTCTCTCGCTCCGCTCCCTGCCTCCGCGCCGCTGCCCTTGGCCCATCGGTCGCGCCCTTCGCGCGCGTCGTGCAATTGCGGGCTCTGGTGTGGCGGCGTCGCGGGGCAGCTCGGGGCCGGCTGGTCGGGGGTGGGAGTGCAGTGGAGACGAGGGCGTTTCAGAGCCGACTCCGATCTGGACGTCGTGCCAGGCCGGGCCCTCCATGCTCGAGTGTTCGTTGTTCTGGGGCAGCTTCGTGGGGCCTTGGGCCTTCGGTGAGGGAGCTCGTGTTCTTACCTCCTCGTCGCCTCTGCCGCCGCATGCAGGCAGCACGCCGCGTCCGCGACGACCAGGCCCGCAGGAGAGTCCCGCGTCATCTCCGTCCTGGTCCTCCTCCGTCCGCATCCATCTGGGCTCAGGCTGTGTTGGCGCAGGGCGAGGCGGTGCCCTGGCGCGGGGGGGCGGCAGGCCCTTCCCCCGCTCCCCGCCCATCGAACACTCATTCCGATAGCTTGCCCGGAGCGGTTGGGTCAGCAGGTTCGCCTGGGCGCGCTGGGATGGCGTATGGCCGCGCGGGCCGGCGGTTGCGTCTCGCTGCGCGCCCCGCCTCAGGCTGGCTGCCGTGGCCTTCGCCGCGCTTGGGCCGCCACCGTGGGCGGCGCCGGCGCCCTCATCGACCGGCTGGGCAGGCAGCGGAGGTGGCGGCAGGCGCTCGCTCGGCTCGGGGGCATGCCGCGGCTGCGCCTCGCGCCAAGCGCGACGACGTGCGCCGCCGCGGTGGGCGCGTGCATGCGGGGGCACTGCTGGGAGGGCGCTGTCGCCTGCGTGCGGGCGGCCTGTGGGAGGGGCCTGAGGGTGGACGCGGTGATGTGCAGCGCGGCGGCGAGCGCGTGCGAGCGCGCGCACCGATGGGCCTGGTCTCTGGACCTGTTCGCCTGGATGCGGTGGAGAAGAGTGGAGGCGGACGTGGTGGCATGGAACTCAAAGATCAGCGCCCTGGCGAGGGGCAAGAGGTGGGAGGCCGCCCTCGCGGCCCTGGGCGAGATGGGTGGCACCCAGCTGTTGCCAGACACCGTGTCCTTCAACGCGGCCATCAGCGCCTGCGAGAGGGGCCAGCAGCACGGCGCCGCCCTTGAGCTCCTGCGCGCGACGGAGGCCCAGCGGGTGCCGCCAGACACGGTGACCTTCAACGCGTCGCTGAGCGCCTGCGAGAAGGGGGGGCAATGGGATCGTGCGCTGGAGATCTTGGGGCGCATGGGGCAGCTGCGGGTTCGCCGAGACGTGATCACCTGCAACGCCGCGATCAGCTGCGGGGAGAAGGCGCGGCAGTGGCGATGGGGGCTCGCCGTGTTCGGCCAGATGGGCGCGCAGGGCATACCGCGGGACGTCTTCTCCCACAACGCCGCGATCAGCTGCTGCGAGAAGGGCGAGCAGTGGACCGTCGCCCTGGGGCTGCTCGGGTCCTTGGCTCGCGCCCGACTGGAGGCCGACCTGGTGTCCTACAACTCGGCCCTCTCCGCCTGCGAGCGGGCGGGGAGGTGGGCCGTGTGCCTGCAGCTGCTCCGCGAGGCGCGCGGCGTCCGCCTGCGGCCCGACGCGGCGAGCTTCGTCACCGCCGCCCGCGCGTGCGAGGCGGGCCGCTGGTGGTCCACCTCGCTGGCGCTGCTGCGCGAGGCCGCCGCCAACCAGGCGGTGCTCAACGCGGCCATCGCCGCGTGCGGCGCGGTGGGGCGCTGGAGGCTGGCGCTGGCCGTGCTGGAGGAGATGTCGGCGGGGGCCTCCCTGGACGCCGACCTGGTCAGCTACGGCGCGGCGATCAGCGCCGGGGAGAAGGCGCAGCAGTGGGCGGCGGCCCTCTCCCTGCTGCGCACCCTGCGGGCCTCGCGCCGCCTCCCCGACGTGGTGGCCCTGTCCGCGGCGGCCAGCGCGTGCGAGAAGGGCGGCCGCTGGGAGCACGCCGTGGAGCTGCTGCGCCAGGCGCGGGCGCTGGCGCTGCGGCCCAACGCCGTGGCCCTCACGGCGGCCGCGAGCGCGTGCGGCGCCGTGCACCGCTGGCAGGGCGCGGTGCACCTGGCGGGCGCGATGCTGCGCTCGGAGCTCAGCCCCGACCAGGTCGTTTTCCAGGCGGTGAGCGGGGCGTGCTGGGCCGCCGGCCACGCGGCGCGCGCGGCGCGGCTGCTCCGCGGCGCCGGGCGCGCGGCGCCCGCCGACGGCCCCGGCGGCGGCGCCCTCCAGGCGGCTCTGCTGGCCGAGCCGCTGCGGGAGCCCGCCCGGCACCTGCGGGCGCTGGCGCTGGCCACGGCGGAGCGAGGGCTGCGGGAGAGCCTCGCAGAGGTTCACCACCCACCAACCCACCCCAACCCAACCCGAAGGCCCCGATTTGCCATCCATTTCCAGTGGGGGGGGGTCGGGGACCATCGAAAAAACACGTATGGAACCCATACCCCCCCCAACCCGAAATTCGGGTCTTCGGGTTGGGTTGGGGTGGTCTGGTAGGTAGTCAGAGGTCTGCCCCTCGGGCTTCGCGCCGGTCCGGCCGCGCCCGCCGCCTCGTCCACGCAGCGCCGCCAGGCCGGGGAGGGCCTCCCCGCCGCACCTCGTCGACAGCATGCCCGCCGGCTGCGCCCGGCACTGCCTGGACCTGCGGGGCATCCTCTGGGTGCGGGGCGCGCGGCGGGCTCCTCCTTCTCGGATCCGCGCCCCCCTCCACAGCAGATCACGCTCGGTCTCCTCCTCGTCGTCGCTCTCTTCCTCTATTATTTGCCATCCTCATCCTGACTCATGCTCCTACCCCTCGTCATCCTTCCTCCTATTTCTTCTTACTTCTCTCATCCTCCATCTTCTTCCGCTCGTCCTCCTCCTCCTCCTCCTCCTCCTCCTCCTCCTCCTCCTCCTCCTCCTCCTCCCCACCCTCCTCCAGTCGACCGCGGCAGTAGGGATAGGGAGCTTCAGCAATGCGGCCACTGCACCGCTGTCTATCCAGGCCATCCCTACCAGTGTTTCAGGCCTGCTCGCCGGCTCCTGGGGCCTTTGGCCTGCTGTCGCTGTCGCTTTGACCCGAAGGAGGAAGAGGAGGAGGACTAGCTGGAGGAGGAGGAGGAGGAGGAGGAGGAGGAGGAGGAGGAGGAGGAGGAGGGTGGGGAGTAGGGCGAGGAGGAGGAGGACGAGGAGGAGGCTAGGAGGAGGAGGAGGAGGAGGAGGCGGAGGGGAGGAGAGGAGGAGGAGGAGGAGGAAGAGGGGGAGGATGAGGAGGTGGGGAGGATGAGGAGGAGGGGGGGAGGAGGGGAGGAGGGGGAGGAGGGGGAGGAGGGGGGAGGAGGAGGGGAGGTGGTGGAGGAGGAGGAGGAGAGGAGGAGGAGGAGGAGGAGGAGTGAGGAGGAGGGGAGGAGGAGGGTGGAGGAGGAGGTGGAGGGAGGGGAGGAGGGGGAGGAGGAGGGGAGGAGGAGGAAGGAGGAGGAGGAGGAGGAGAGGAGGAGGAGAAGGAGGAGGAGGAGGTTGTATCTGTGTCTACGCCTGGTTGGTCCCCGATGGATGGCTTTCCAGCGCTCTGCCCTTCGACGGCCCTGGAAGCGCTGGGGCTCCGTGCGGGAGCGTCCAGCTGCGCGGTCTCCCGGTTCTCCGCAGCGTTGCGAGTGCAGCCGCGAGGTGTTCTCGGCTTCCTCGCGGGAGGCAGGAGAGGGGAACGGGAAGAGAGGCTGGAGGGAGAAGGGATGGAGTAAAAGGAAGACGGAGGCAGGAGGCATGAGGAGGCATGAGGAGGAGGAGGAGGAGGAGGAGGAGGAGGAGGAGGAGGAGGAGGAGGAGGAGGAGATCGGGCGGAGTTGGTGGAAGGAGGAGGGGAGAATTGAGAAGGGGGGAAAGGAGGCGGGGGCGGAGGGGGGGGGGGGGGGAAGTAGGAGGAGGAGGAGAAGGAATAGGAGCAGGAGGAGGAGGAGGAGGAGGAGGAGGAGGAAGAGAGAGGGTGGGGGCTTCAGGCTGGAGAGAGGAGCAGCAGCAGCAGGAGCAACCAGGGACGCACGCCTGCCTTCACACTCTCTGTTGGCCGCCGTTGGGGTCCCCCGAAGCAGTTTGACGGGGGAGCTGAACCGATAACTCCGACACGCGTGTTAGACATTTCAACGTTCTTCGGGTTGAGACTTCGATTGCGCGGACGAGGAAGCGGAAGGATCGTGTGAAGCAGAAGTTGACGATTAGTGCAATGCCTCGTGTTCTGCTGTTCTGCCATTTGAACCTTCTGTTCTGCCGCAGGCGGACCCCACGTTGAAGGCATGGTCCGAGCGGCTGCCGGGCCTGGTCGCGAAGGCGCGCGCAGAGTGCGGATTGCCTTTCGCGCGGGTGCGCGTCGTGCCGCAGCACGAGTCCGCGGACCCCCGACCCGATTCGGCCTTCACGCAGTGGGTGGAGCTGGCAGTGCTACCTGCACCTGTGGCCCCTTCTAAACCTGACTCCTCCCACCTGACCCGCTCCACCATTCCTTTCCTTTCTGCCTTGTTCGTTGCGTGTTCTGGCGAGGGTGAGGAGAATTACAGCGGGTGGGACCCGTGATGACGGGGTGATGCATCAATAGTTCTAGCTGCTACACCCGTAATAGCGGCGTGGGCTCGCTGCATTTGTCTTGACGTCCGTTTTCGTTCTAGCTCCAAAACCTGATCTCGGCGTCATCACAACATACTACTACTGTGTATGTGCCCCGCCCCCCCAGGGGCGGCGCCCGCACCGACAAATCTTGTAGTATCTGCGTCGTGGCCGGCGCTTTCTGGCCATACCGCTTGGGAAACGATGTAAGACAAGGTGGGTGTACTAGATGTTCGGGTCGGCCGCGCGCCTCCAAGGAGGACATACACAGTACTGTCAGGTCTATGTGCGTCCCGTAATCCTCCTGCCTCCCTCATCCCTTCTCCCTACTCGCCCCACTCTCCTCCTCCCCGCTCCCCCCGTGGCCCTCGGGGACCGCGGCCCTGGTCGGCGCTGTTGCTCATCGTGAGACTTTACGGGCCGGTGGGCTGATTGCTCGAGGGTTCCCGAGGAGCCTTGGCCCCGACCCTCTGGCCCGCCCCTGGTCCTCCATCGTCCACTCCCCATTCCATCTCGGTTCCCTTCCCCCACCCTTTCTCCTCCCGTCCTTTCCGTCCACCGTCCACGCCTCTCTCTTCCACCTCTCTTCCCTTCCAGTCCACCGTATTCCCCCATCGTCATCCTCATCACCTGCATCTTGTGTTTCCTACCCTGCTCCCCATTCCCCTCCCCCTCCCTTTCCTTTCTGCGGTGCCCTTTCTTGTCTCTTTTCCTCCTCCTCCTCCTCCTCCTCCTCCTCCTCCTTCTCCTCCTCCTTCTCCTTCTCCCCCTCCTCCTCCTCCTCCTCCTCCTCCTCCTCCTCCTCCTCCTCCTGTCCCCCTCTTCATTCGAGGTTCGGGGGGAGTGGAGGAAGAGGAGGGGAGAATTGAGAAGGGGGGAAAGGAGGCGGGGGCGGAGGGGGGGGGGGGGAAGTAGGGGGAGGAGAAGGAATAGGAGGAGGAGGAGGAGGATGAGGAGGAGGAGGAGGAGGAGGAGGCGAAGGCGAAGGCGAAGGCGAGGAGGAGGAGGAGGAGGAGAGCAGCGAGAACATCGAGGACGGCGAAGAGGAGGAGAGGGAGAGCGGGGCCCGGACCCCCCGTCTAGAGGGCATGAGCGGGGAGGAGGCAGACTCCTCCGCGAGGAGGGAGACGGGGGGGGGCGTCGGAAGCGCTGGTGGGAGCCGCCGCTGCGCTCGGAGGGCGCATGCCGCTCGTGAGTGCAGGGAGCCCAGGTTCCGCCACACGCAGAGGGGCGCAGAGGGGGAAGGCAGAGGGCTTCTCGGGAGCACCCCTCTGCTTCTTGGCAGGCGCGGGCCCCCATCTGTAGACGTGAGGCCGGCGCCTTCTGAGAAGCAGCCTCCTTCCAAGAAGCCCTCCCCCCACCCCTCCACCCCCTTTGTGCGCGCCGCCGGCAGGTGGCGGGGGGGGGCACAGGGATGTGGGATGGGCCACGGGCCCCCCATGGCAACCTCCCTGGTGGCCCAGCATCATGATGCTCCTGCCTACTGTTTAGCCTTGATCGCCAGAGAGAATTCCGAGCACCAGAAAGGTACCCCAAAACTCGAGGGTTTTGAAGTGTCGGGCCCTGGGTGACACTCATTCGACGCTGCTTCGACACTGTTTCGATACTTGTTCGGCACTTTTCCGGGTGCTCGAAATTCTAATTGGCATGTGGTCCTTAAGTACGATGGGAGCAACATAGCCCTGGAGACCTAGCAGTGCATGATCATCGCGGGGGGTGGGCGGTTCCCGCCCGACTGGGGTGCTCTTACATGCTCTTGCCATGACGACATTCGGTCCGCCATGATCCCAGCACGCATGGAGTCGCATGGAGCAATTGCGGCTCTTTTCTGGCCTGTGGCCAGCCTCGTGGGTCGTGTTGGGGCGATGCTGCGACGTCGTGGGGGCCTCGTCGGGCTTGCTTGGCGGCTGCCGCCTCTTTTTCTGTCTCAGGCTGCCTGGGGACATGTGGGAGCGGTACCCTCGTGGGTCGTGTCGAAGGCATATTGAGCGGTCGATCCCCCCCTGTGGAAAAGCGATGCAGCAGTTGTATCCAATTCTTGCCCCCGCCCTCCCCCCCACCCCTGTGGACCCCCGACGTTGATGTTGAGTCAGCCGTTGCCGACGGCGGAAAAATCGGGTCGCGCAGCGTACGCACAAACATTGAACTTGAGGGGGGCGGGGAGACGGACCGCGCGCGAGGGTTGCATAATTGTTCAAGAGAAGCGCAGGATCCCCAGAGGGGGCAAATTCTCGAAGGACGTGGCTCCGAATTCATCACTGGCGTCGACGGGGGGAACGCGCCCTTCTCGGTCGTAGTTCGAAGATCACGGCCTCTCTCAGCGGGTCTCAAGGAGGCCTGGACTGTTGTCCGCACTGGTGGTTCCTTGATCACCGCCAGCGTCAAGAGCTCCCTCATCCCACTCTTCGGTGGTTCAAAGATGGGGTCCTCAAGGATGGGGTCCTAAGGACAAGGTGCCTCGAACAATGTAAGTCCACCCTCGGATCCAATCATACAACCCTCGTCAAAATTAACCTCAGAAATGGGGAACACGCCCCTGCGATGTCGGCGCGTCCTTCAATGTCGATAGACGCCCCTCCAATGTCGGGGCCAGGGCACAGGTGGTCTGACCGGGAACGACTCGGAAGTTCGATGATGACCGACGTTGGAAGGGCGGCGCATACAAGTGCCTCGCAGTCATTAGACAGTTCAGCCACGCAGGACATTTGTGAGGTTATATGTTCTTGAACGGTTTGAGCTTGGGCTTTTTGAATTCGGTGATGTCAATACCTGCTAAACGATCCATGGAAGTTTACACATCGGAGTGCCCTCTCTCACCTGTCCCCGCTCTCTCCCCTCCATAGCATGTCTTCGGCTTAAAGACGGGCGGCACGCCGCATGCCCGCCTCCGGCGGGCCCGCTGCGCTGCCGGCCTTGTGCGTGGCGCTGATAGCTGGTCTGGACTGGCGAGCGAGCCCCCTCCGGCCTGGACCCGTGCCACGGAGTGAGGCCCTGGTGTGGCTCGACGGGGGCGCCGACGCCGGCGTCGAGGCCTTGTTGACGGCTCCGACTCCCACGGGGGAAGAGTGGTGCGCTGATCTCCCTCGCGGTGCTCTCGCCCGGGTGAGCTACGACGACGACGTCAGGGACCTCGAGCGTGTCGTGGTTTGGCCCTCGCGGCGAGGGGAAGCTGTCGAGCGGGTGGGTCTGCACTTCTACTGGGTCCTCTCGCCCGACGGCAACTGGTGGAGGGAGCTGCTCTCAGGGGCCTCACCTACCGACGGCCCTTCGGACGACGAGCGCATCGCCGACGGGGGCGCCTCGCCTGCTGATGGCCGGAAGCTGTGCAGCTTCCGCGAGCGGCCGACCCCTACTCGGCTCGTGGAGCCGGCCGACGGGTGCCGACTGGCGATGGAGGCTCGCGGGCAGGCGGCTGCCGGGGGGCCCGCCCACGTGGAGCTCGCCTCTGGCGTGCTGCTGGAAGGCGGGGAGGTGTCCCCGTGGGCCGCGCCGCCGTGGCCGTCGCACCGACTCCACGGGAGGCAGGGGCACGTCTGGGTGCTGACCGAGCCAGTGTTCGACCTGGACATCGGCACGCTCGCGGACCCGTCGAACGAGACGCTCATTGGCGCTGGATTGGGTGCCCCCGGGCTTCGTCGCGGACGGGCGTTTCGTCGGGAGCTGGTGCCGCGGGACGGCGGGGCAGGCCGGGCGTCACGCCGTGTGGCCGAGCTGGGCCGTCTCCTGGAGGTGGCAGTTCCCGTGGCGACGCTCGGCTCCTCTTCCCCGGGCGGTGTCCTGGATGGCGCCGCTGCCAGCGGCGCGGAGGGCGCTCCCGCCCGGGATGGCGCTCCGTCGGCTGATGCTTTGGCTGACGCCGCTCGAGATGGCACTCGCATGTTCTGGATCGAGTGGGACGGCCAAGGGGAGCGGTACAAGGGGTTCAGAGAGGCCGCGAACGAATCGGCGGACTGTGTCGAGGGCCACCAGCGTCAGGAGGACGGCCTGACTCGCCTGCACACCTGCAAGATGATGTACCACACGATGGGCACCCCTCGGAGATGGCTCGAGAAGTTCTTGAGTGACAAGCACGTCGTGCACGCCGACCGGGTCGCCCCTGGGCCCTGGCCGCCGATGGAGGTGTTCGAGGAGGCCGTGTCCTTCGACCAGGCCAACCTGGGGGGGCTCGCTCTCCTTGTGGTGGCCGAGCGCCGGCTCAACGTGACCGTGGACGCCTACAAGTGCGCGGGCACCCCCTCGTTCGCCACCGCCAAGTACTTGGCTCCGCTGGGCGAGTCAGACGAGTCGACGGCGCCGCCGCCGAGGAGCCACGTGGCCTACCACATGAAGGAGGCCTGTGGGGTCGAGCAGTCCGTGATGAAGGCCGAGGCTGCGGATGCTCGTGTGACGTCGGGATCTGCTGCAATCCAGCCGGGCGCTGAGGGTGCCACCACAAGGATCGGCGGTGGGGACAGGGGGGGAGGTCGCTGCGGTCGTGTCCGCGGAGGTCGCACCCCGGGGCCCCCCCCGCCGGTCCAGTCATGACCGAGAAGGCACAGCCGGGGGAGTGGGCCCCCCCCGGGTGGTACCACATTCTGGCCCGCGCCTCACCGCTGCCGCCGTCCGATTTGAGAGAGACTTGTTCCCCGTGCCGATGATGGCTGCGCCGGGCGGCTCCGCCCGTGGGCGCAGGTCTCAGCATAGGACTCGCGCTCGGCAGCACGAGGTGGAATTGGTGAATCGCGCCCTCCGCAGCTTGAACTGGTTGGCCGGCTTCAAGGGCGCGGCCGCTTCACCGAGTCCGGGCGCAACGACCCTGGACAAGCATGCAGCCCTTCAGCAGCACTTGCTTCGTGAAGCTCATCGGCGACAGGCCGCAGCTCCGCAGGTGATGCCGAGGGCGGAGGCAGCCCTGAGGGAGCTGCTCCGGGGGCAGTCCGTGTACGAGACGGACTTGGCCCCAAGGAACCTCGTCTCCTACCTGCCCGGCAAGGTCTCACTCCCCGACAGCGTGCTGGACTGCCGCTTCATCGAGGATATCGTGAGCCCTGGGTGCCGCTCGTTCTTGGAGGAGAACCACAAGCGTATGAGGTTGGAGCCGGAGTCAGTCAACTTCGACAGCATGCCGCGGCTATACATGGACCCGGTGCTGAAGAGGAACCCCAAATCCTACCGTACCTTTCTGCGGGATCTTGCTGGACGCGGACTTCTTGGTGTAACGGCTAGGCCCGCCGAGTCGGTGGGCCTGTTTTTCGTAGCTAAAACGAACGGGGCACAGCGTATGATAATTGATGCGAGGCGGAGCAACGGCCACTTCAGAGCCCCGCCAGGCGCGCAGCTTCTCAGCAGTGAGGGTTTCGGCCGGATCGAGATTGAGTTGCCGCCTGGTGTTCTGCCCTCGTCGGTTGAGGGGCAGCGGCTCCTGGACGCCTTCGCCGTCTACGTGGCCACCACCGACGTGAAGGACTGCTTCTACCGGACGCGCGTGCGCGAGGACCTTGGCCGCTACTTCTGCCTGCCCGCCGTCCCCAAGTACGTGTTCGACGGCCTGCAGGTGGCCGGCGTCCCGGCGGAGACCCCGCCAGACGCTCCCGTGCGGCCCTACTTGGCCGTGCTGCCCATGGGGTTCACGTGGTCGTTGTACCTGGCCCAGGCGGCGAATGAGGACAGGGTGCGCCGAAGCCCCAGCCTGTGCAAGGCGATGCCGGCTGGCAGGCAGCAGCCCTTGATTCAGGACCAGGCCGAGGCCTTCGTGCTTTGCGCCGCCTCGCGCGGGGTCGGGGGCGCCTACGTGCACGTGGACAACCTAGGCGCCGTGTCGGACGACGCCGATCTCAGTGAGAGGATGGTGTCAGAATGGAGCGACTTTTTCGAGCCGGTCGGGCTGGCGCTCCACAAGTCAGAGTCCCACGGGGGCGCTGGTGAGGCTCTCGGCACCGAGCTTGACGGCGTCCGCCTTCGCTCGGGGATCACCTCGAGCCGGTTTTGGAAGCTCGAGCGAGGCTTAACTGGCCTTCTCGCTCGGGGGCGTTGCAGCGGCCAGGCGCTTGAAAAAGTAATCGGGCATTGCACGTTTTGCGGCCTGGCGGCTCGTGAGTCCCTGTCTATCTTCCACACTGTCTATAAGTTCATTTCGGTTCAGTATCTCGACGCGGGCCCGATGTGGCCCGAAGTGGTCGAGGAGCTCGTAGCTTTTAGAGGGGTCCTTTTACTTCTGGGCCGCGACTGGTGGCTGCCATGGAACCCTTGCGTTTTAGAAACCGACGCCAGCCTAGCGGGCTGGGCGATGGCCCAAAGCTTCTGGGACCCAGCTCAGGTCGCCGGCGTCGGTCGTGTCAGCGAGCGCTCCCGTTTCAGGCGCGTCGGTGCTCACTCCGCTCGGGAATCCGCACTCACCTCCGCCCACCTCTTCCGTGACGAGTCAGGCGAGTGGAGAAGCCAGCTCCTAGGAGACGATCTTCTTTCAGACGACTGGGGGGTCGTTGCGGGTTTTCCCGAAGTCCCCTGGCAGCTCCTCCGGGGCTCGGCCTGGAAAACCGTCCGGAAGGGGGTTTGGGGCCTTAGCGAGGGCATTCTGGTGCTGGAGGCCCGGGTCTTGGTGAAGGCCATCCGTAGGCTCGCCAGGACCAGACACGGGTCTTGCATCAGACAACTTTTCTTGTGTGACAATATGGCCGTGGTCCTAGCTTTTGCCCGCTCGAGGAGTCAGGACTTCAAGCTTCTGGTCCAGATTCGACGCTTCAACGCTTACGCTCTTGCCCTTGGCATCGCCCCATATTTTAGATGGATCCCTTCGGAGTTTAACCAGAGCGATGCCGGGAGCCGCGATCACTCGGAAGTCTCGTCCAAATTGCTAACCGATGTCCTGGATCAGCAGGTTAGGATCTCGTCCCCTTCTTCTCTCTCTGCTCTCCGTAGCCGTATTGGCTCAAACTATGTTCAGGCCTCCCTCGTTTCCGTGCCTGAGGAGTCTGTCCCGACGGATGCGTGCTCGGACGCTGCAGCCGACGTGGGCCCCAGTGCGGCCGATCCCTCCAGGGCCGCTACGTGTTCGGCCGAGACCTGGCGTTCGCCCGCCGCCTTGCCCGAGTGCTCCGCTGGCGGCGAGGGCGAGGGCGAGAATGCTGACGGGGCCCCAGAGAGCGACGGAGGCACGTGGCCCCAGAGCCCGCCTCGACGTGCCGACGGGGGTCCACGGCGCCCGACCGGCCCAGACATGCTTGGAGCGCCGCCCTTGCCAGCCGCCGACGTCGCCTCCTGTGGCGCTCGAGGACCTCGCTCCCGCGGCCTCCGCTGGCGACGACGAGGCGGGCGCCGAGGGAGAGGGCGAGTCGAGCGGGCCCGACAACGTGGTGAACCATGCGACGGCGGCTTCGAGGAGATCTCGCCGCCTCCAGGACTCCCGGCGCCAACGCCAAGCGGCCCTCCACACGGACATGTTCATGCAGGCCGTTGTCGGGGGGCCCGCGTTGCTGGAGCGTCTGGCGGTGACTCGCCGGGCGAGGGAACGCTACGCCAATTATCTCGATCGTTCTTACTCGCATGCCGACCCGACCAACGACAAGCTCATGAGGGGCACGAACGAGGCCGTGGACTGCTGGGCGTGCGACTACTTCAACGCGATGTACCTGTCCGAGGAGCAGAGCGGCCTGGAGGACCAGACGGGAACTGCCCTGGTGGGCCGGCGCCCAGCTTTCGACCAGCGGGGCGGGGGAGCCCCGCCACGGACGTGGCGAGCGCTGGAGGCGTGGAGACAACGGGCGCCTCCGCGGACCCGCCAAGCACTGCCGTTCGCCGTGCAGTCGCCGGGGGTGTGGCTGCTGGCGGACAGGGGCCTCCCGCTCATGGCTCTGTCCTTAGCGGTGGGCCTCTCCGCCTGTTCCAGGTCCTCTTCTCTGGTGGCAGCTCTAAGGTGCGCCCTGGTCCCACCGCCGCGTGCAACAGTGGGCAGCTGGAACCTTCCGACTCACCCGGAGGAGGAGGGAAGACCGAGCAAAACAAATCGCTACAACGAGGAGTGCCTCCTGGACTCGAGTTACTTCCAGGGGGCAGGCCCTCTATTCCCCGAGCCCGAAGTGAGCGGAGACCGGCCAATGCTGTGGCCTTTCGCGTACCTAGAGCTTTCAAAGGCGGTGCAACTGGCGGCGGCCGAGGACGGGGTCGACAGGCTGACACTGTACCACCTCCGCCGCTCAGGCGCGAGCATCGACGCCAGCAGGCTCTCGCGTACCCTAGAGGAGATGCGGATGCGGACCTGGCAGTCGCTCGTGCCAAGCTAAGGCGGACCTCCCGCGGCTGTCGCGAGAAACGCCTCGCCGCACAGCGTTTTGGCCTCAGAGGCCGGTACGTAGCGGACTTTTTTGCCGGGAGCCGGTGCATCTCGCGAGCAGGAGATAAGTTAGGCTTCAGGACACGCAGTTGGGATGTAGCCCACGATCCAGTCTGGCAGAATCTTGTTGACCCAAAGGTCCTTCGGGCAATCCGACGCGACGCCCGTCGGGGCCTAATATTGGCAGCAACTTTGGCCCCTTCTTGCCAAACCTTTTCAATCGCGCGGGATCGGACAGCAAAGATCCGGTCCCCGGACATGCCCTGGGGGTTGCCCAGACAGCTGCTCAGCGCCACAGACCGAGAGAAAGTCAAAGTAGGCAATCAGATTGCCCACGCCGCCATAGGGTTATTTGCTCTTTTCCATCAGCTCAAGATCCCTGCCGTTCTTGAGCACCCGCTCACCTCTCGTCTGTGGCACACCGCAGAGATCCAAGCTCTAGCCCACTTGCCGCATGTCAGTTTAGTTGAATTACACCAGTGCCAATTCAGAGCCCTATGTAAGAAGCCAACCCGCCTGATGTTCTGTCACGTTGCAGTTGACGACCTTAAGAATCTGTGCAGAAAATGCTGTGGTCAGAAAGGACGGTGCTCGCGGACAGGCCTCCCTCACTTCCAGCTCGAAGGAAGCGCCCGCACCCGTCCAGCGGCCGCCTACCCGCCTGAGCTCGCACACTGTATAGTTCGAGCGCTCACTGCCGCTTGCGTCGCCACGTTCGGATACAACTCAAGATCCCTCCCTTCCCAACCCTAGTGAACTCCCGTATTCGGGAAACTTGGGGAGGAGTGAGCGCGTGCAACGACTTTAACCTCTGGCCTGGACGTTTCGAGGCTTTCGTCAGATTCATGTCCCTGCAATGTGAAAAAAGAAGTGGCTCTATATGTTCTTGAACGGTTTGAGCTTGGGCTTTTTGAATTCGGTGATGTCAATACCTGCTAAACGATCCATGGAAGTTTACACATCGGAGTGGAGTGCCCTCTCTCACCTGTCCCCGCTCTCTCCCCTCCATAGCCTGTCTTCGGCTCCCACCCTCCCACCCTGGGAGGAGTGAGAGCGTGCAACGACTTTAACCTCTGGCCTGGACGTTTCGAGGCTTTCGTCAGATTCATGTCCCTGCAATGTGAAAAAAGAAGTGGCTCTAATTTTGACGAGGGTTGTATCTTGATGTCCGCATCCCTCAGATCCACCCTTGGATCCATTCCTATCTTCAGGTCCCCGAGGGGGAGGAGGAGGAGGAGGAGGAGGAGGAGGAGGAGGAGGAGGAGATGGAGTGAGAGGAGGAGGAGTTGGAGTAAGAGATGGAGTAAGAGGAGGAGGGAGTGAGGAGAGGAGGAGGAGGAGGAGGAGGAGGAGGAGGAGAGGAGGAGGAGGAGGAGGAGGAGGAGTAGGAGGAGGAGGAGGGAGGAGGAGGAGGAGGAGGAGGAGGAGGAGGAGGAGGGAGGAGGAGGAGGAGGAGGAGGAGGAGGCGGAGGAGGAGGAGGAGGAGGAGCGGAGGCGGAGCGGAGGCGGAGGCGGAGCGGGGCGGCGGCGGCGGCTGGCGGCGGCGGAGGAGGAGGAGGAGGAGGAGGAGGAGGAGGAGGAGGAGGAGGGAGGAGGAGGAGGAGGAGGGAGGAGGGAGGAGGGAGGAGGAGGGGAGGAGGGAGGAGGGAGGAGGGGAGGAGAGGAGGAGGGGAGGAGGGAGGAGGGAGGAGGGAGGAGGGAGGAGGGAGGAGGGAGGAGGAGGAGGAGGAGGAGGAGGAGGAGGAGGAGGAGGAGGAGGAGGAGAGGAGGAGGGAGGGAGGAGGAGGAGGGGAGGAGGGAGGAGGAGGGGAGGAGGGAGGAGGGAGGAGGAGGAGGGAGGTAGGGAGGAGGGAGAGGGAGGAGGAGGAGGAGGAGGAGGAGGAGGAGGAGGAGGAGGAGGAGGAGGAGGAGGAGGAGGAGGAGGAGGAGGAGGAGGAGGCGGAGGAGGAGGGGAGGAGGAGGAGGAGGAGGAGGAGGAGGAGGAGGAGGAGGAGGAGGAGGAGGAGGAGGAGGAGGAGGAGGAGGAGGAGGAGGAGGAGGAGGAGGAGGGAGGAGGAGGAGGAGGAGGAGGGAGGAGGAGGAGGAGGAGGGAGGAGGAGGAGGAGGAGGAGGAGGAGGAGGAGGAGGAGGAGGAGGAGGAGGAGGGGAGGAGGAGGAGGAGGAGGAGGAGGATGGGGGCGCCCTCGGCCCAGGGCTGGGGGGGGCGTCAGAAGGCCCCGCCCCGCCGCAGCCTGGCCAGGCCCAGCCTGGGCCCCTCGGGGCTCGGTGCGGGCGCCCTCCGGGCCCAGCCAGGCAGGCCCGGGCACCAGCCCCGGGTCTCGAGCAGCGGCGAAGCGTCCTGGCTCGCCTGTGGCCCTACCAAGCTAGCAATGCTTTAAGAACCTCTTTGTGGTTTCCACGAGATGTTCTCAGAACACTTCTGGCGGAGTCTGTCTTGTGTCATCACGTCGGGCTTCTGTTCTAGGAACGTTGAGTGTGTGTGTGTGTGTGTGTCTGTTATCAGAACGTCTTTTGGGTTCTAAGAACGTGTCGTGGTAGGGCTATAGGAATGCCGGGACGGTCGGTCCCTGCTCAAGGGTTATGATGTTCCATTTGTTTCCTAGCCTTGATCACCAGAAAAAAAATCCGAGCACCAAGAAAGTACCGAAACTCTAGGGTTTTCACATGTCGGGCACTGGGACACACTCGCTCGACACTGTTTCGACGCCGTTTCGATGCTTTTCCGGGTGCTCGAAATTAGTTCTCGGATGTGGCCTTTAAGTACGATGGGAGCAACATAAGTCTTGGGCGTACGTCGGGCACGGTCCTTTACGGGAGGAGTATTCCAAAATCGTAAAACAGCAGGTTGGGGACGAGTTGTCGACCAACGTTTGGCATGTTCGATTATTTTTGCGGTATTGTTTTGGTTCCCCATCCAAAATCCGCCTGTATGGGGGACGTGCCCGACCCAATCCTGGGCCCAGGAGGTCGCCGTGGCTTTCTTCATTGTTTCGCCGATCGGCGCGGGTCCCCGGCCCCGCCCCTCCCCCCGTCGGACCAGGTCTTGGCTGCTCTGGGCGGCTGCTTCTGGCGACTAGCCTTAAGTCGGGCCTGTCCTTCTACAGGGGCAATATTCAAAAATAGTCAAAACAAGTCTGGGGAATATTTTTGAGTTTTTTCGCCACATGCTTCGTGGGGTTCTGGTTTTCTTCCCACCCGCGTCTCACCCACACCCGCCCTCCTCCCCTCCTCCTCCTCCTCCTCCTCCTCCTCCTCCTCCTCCTCCTCCTCCTCCTCCTCCTCCTCCTCCTCCTCCTCCTCTTTCTTCCTCCCTCACCCACAGCACAGCACAGCACAGCACATCAAAACACACACATCTTCACAGACACACATACACACATACACACATACAGACAACCACACAAGCACACACACAGCATACAGCATACAGCATACAGCACAGCACAGCACAGCACAGCACACACATACACATACACACATACACACATACACACAAACACACAAGCACACACAGCACACCGCACACACAGCATAGTACAGCACAGCACAGCACAGCACAGCACAGCACAGCACAGCACAGCAGACCGCAGCACAGGCAAGCACAGCACAGCACGCCCCAGTCGTCCAGGCATACCAGGCGTGGCAATTCCTCGACACCACAGGGGGTGCGCTGGGGGTGGTCTCCCTGTCCGTTGCAGGCTCACAAAGCGTGGCAGGCGTGGCACTTCCTCGACACCACAGGGGGTGCGCTGGGGGTGGTTTCCCTATCCGTTGCGGGCTCGCAACGCTTGGCAGGCGTGGCACTTCCTCGACACCACAGGGGGTGCGCTGGGGGTGGTCTCCCTATCTGTTGCGGCGTCGCAGAGCGTGGCAGGCGTGGCACTTCCTCGACACCACAGGGGGGGCGCTGGGGGTGGGCTGCGGCGTCGCAGCGTGGCAGGCGTGGCAGGGGGGTGCGCTGGGGGTGGTCTCCCTATCCGCTGCGGCGTCGCAAAGCGTGGCAGGCGTGGCACTTCCTCGACACCACAGGGGGTGCGCTGGGGGTGGTCTCCCTATCCGTTGCGGGCTCGCAAAGCGTGGCAGGCGTGGCACTTCCTCGACACCACAGGGGGTGCGCTGGGGGTGGTCTCCCTATCCGTTGCGGCCTCGCAATGCGTGGCAGGCGTGGCACTTCCTCGACACCACAGGGGGTGCGCTCGTGGCAGGCGTGGCACTTCCTCGACACCACAGGGGGTGCGCTGGGGGTGGTCTCCCTATCCCGTTGCGGGCCTCGCACAAGCGTGGCAGGCGTGGCACTTCCTCGACACCACAGGGTGCGCTGGGGGTGGTCTCCCTATCCGTTGCGGCCTCGCAAAGCGTGGCAGGCGTGGCACTTCCTCGACACCACAGGGGGTGCGCTCCCTATCCGTTGCGGGCTCGCAGAGCGTGGCAGGCGTGGCACTTCCTCGACACCACAGGGGGTGCGCTGGGGATGGTCTCCCTATCCGTTGCGGGCTCGCAAAGCGTGGCAGGCGTGGCACTTCCTCGACACCACAGGGGGTGCGCTGGGGATGGTCTCCCTATCGTTGCGGCCTCGCACAGCGTGGCAGGCGTGGCACTTCCTCGACACCACAGGGGGTGCGCTGGGGGTGGTCTCCCTGTCCGTTGCGGGCTCACAAAGCGTGGCAGGCGTGGCACTTCCTCGGCACCACGGGGTGCGCTGGGGTTGGTCTCCCTATCCGTTGCGGCCTCGCACAGCGTGGCAGGCATGCACTTCCTCGACACCACAGGGGGTGCGCCGGGGGTGGTCTCCTTATCCGTTGCGGGCTCGCAGAGCGTGGCAGGCGTGGCAATTCCTCGACACCACAGGGGGTGCGCTGGGGGTGGTCTCCCTATCCGTTGCGGGCTCGCAAAGCGTGGCAGGCGTGGCACTTCCTCGACACCAAAGGGGGTGCGCCGGGGGTGGTCTCCCTATCCGATCCGGGCTCGCAAAGCGTGGCGTGGCACTTCCTCGGCACCACTGGGGGTGCGCTGGGAGTGGTCTCCCTATCCGTTGCGGGCTCGCAAAGCGTGGCAGGCGTGGCACTTCCTCGACACCACAAGGGGTGCGCTGGAGGTGGTCTCCTTGCAATGCGTGGCAGGCGTGGCACTTCCTCGACACCACAGGGGGTGCGCTGGGGGTGGTCTCCCTATCCGTTGCGGCCTCGCAATGCGTGGCAAGCGTGGCACTTCCTGGGCACCACAGGGGGTGCGCTGGGGGTGGTTTCCCTATCGTTGCCGCCTCGCAAAACGTGGCAGGCGTGGCATTTCCTCGACACCACAGGGGGTGCGCTGGGGGTGGTTTCCCTATCCGTTGCGGGCTCGCAAAGCGTGACAGGCGTGGCACTTCCTCGACACCACAGGGGGTGCGCTGGGGGTGGTCTCCCTATCCGTTGCGGCCTCGCAATGCGTGGCAGGCGTGGCACTTCCTCGACACCAAAGGGGGTGCGCCGGGGGTGGTCTCCCTATCCGATCCGGGCTCGCAAAGCGTGGCGTGGCACTTCCTCGGCACCACTGGGGGTGCGCTGGGAGTGGTCTCCCTATCCGTTGCGGGCTCGCAAAGCGTGGCAGGCGTGGCACTTCCTCGACACCACAAGGGGTGCGCTGGAGGTGGTCTCCTTGCAATGCGTGGCAGGCGTGGCACTTCCTCGACACCACAGGGGGTGCGCTGGGGGTGGTCTCCCTATCCGTTGCGGCCTCGCAATGCGTGGCAAGCGTGGCACTTCCTGGGCACCACAGGGGGTGCGCAGGAGGTGGTCCCAGAGCGCGGCCGCTATGTACGACGGACGTTCAGGGCATAGCAGGCGTGGCATTTTCTCGACGCCAGGCGGGGTGCGCAGAGGGTGGTCCCTCGCCGCGGCCGCTATGCGCGCCGGTCGTCCAGGGCATAGCAGGCGTGGTACTTTTTCGACACTGTAGATGGTGCGCAGGGGTTGGTCCCTCACCGCGGCCACTCTGCACGACGGTCGTCCAGGGCATAGCAAGCGTGGCGCTTTCTCGACGCCAGACGGGGTGCGCAGGGGGTGGTCCCTCACCGCGGCCGCTATGCGCGCCGGTCGTCCAGGCCACCAGGCTCGCAAAGTGTGGCTGGCGCGGCGCTTCTCCTCCTCCACCTCTCCTCTTGAGTGGCGTCACCAATGGTATCGGCGGGGCAACGGCCACCAACATCATTCTCACATGCTTCACTTCAGCTATCATCACTCCAGCCATAATATAAGTATGTGGGGTTCCTCGGTAGCGTAATGTTTGGCATCTTTCGAATATGTTTTGAGTATTTCCCTACCTAGGCTCTGCGCTCTGCCTAGAAGGGTTCTCACCCCGTGTGCGTAAACGGCCGGGCAGTGGGTCCCGCCCCGGGCGGTTCCCCCAGGATCCGCCCCGCGGTTCCCCCAGTGACGCTCCCTTAGCTTAGCGTTGCCTATCTCATCTTAGCTTAGCTTAGTTCATATTAGCTTCGCTTAGCTTCATCTTAGCTCAGGTCTATCTTAGCTTAGCTTACCTTCATCTTAGCTTCGCCGAGCTTTAGCATAGCAGAGCACAGCATAGCATAGCAGAGCGTAGCACAGCATAGCGCAGCACAGCCAATCCTCGCATACCATTGCGCAGCATAGCATAGCATAGCATAGCATAGCATAGCATAGCATAGCATAGCATAGCATAGCGCAGCATAGCGCAGCATAGCGCAGCACAGCACAGCACAGCACAGCATAGCACCGCGCAGCATAACATAGCATAGCATAGCATAGCACAGCATAGCATAGCATAGCGCAGACTAGCATAGTATGGCATATCATAACTTAGCATAGCACAGCGCAGTATGACATGGCATAGCTTAGCATATCATAGCGTAGCATAGCCTAGCGCAGCATACCCTAGCACATCATAGCATAGCATAGCGCAGCTTAGCATGGCATAGCATTGCATAGCATAGTAACTAATGCTGCTTGCCTAGGGGCTCCAACTTCTAGGTAGGGTTGCACTGGGGTAATTGTTTTTTCCGCTCAAAATCCACATGTCGGGGGACAGGCCCGACTTAAAACAAGCCAGGACCCCCCCCATCCCCCGTCTACCTGCGCGACTGGCGAAAGCAGATCGACTGAGCACCGAGACTGGTGAAAGCGGATCGACTAAGCACCGGCCCGGACCCGGACCCCCCCCCAGGGCTCGTTTCGATTTCTCCGATTCGATTGATTCGACTTCAACGGCTTCCGATTCCGAGTCGATTCGATTTGGGATCCCGATTTGGGCTCCGATTTCTCATTGGAGGCATATTCGCCTCCCGATGTCTGCCGGTCCGACGTTTCCCGACTCGGCTGCCGATTTCCGCCGATCCGATCTGTTTCGATTCCCGATCCGACTTGTCGATTCAACTCTGGGGTCTCCTGCCCCCCCCATCCCCCGCCCTTCGGCCAAATGCCGAATCCCAGGGCAAACAGCGCCTACGACTCGCTGTCCGCGCCGCCGCGGCCTGTGTCCATTCGAGACAGGAGGCCGCCCGCCCAACAGCGGCCGCTGTTGGTTTGGGACAACACTTGCTGTTGGGCATTGTACCCATTCTTTCGGTACCCATTTCGGGCGTCCAAATCGGCCAACTGCCGAAGCCCAGGACAAACAGCGCCTAAGAGGTCGCAGGCGCACAACACACATCCGTGCCTGAGGCCTCGTGGGCTGGGCGCTGCGGCCCCGTGGGTACGGGGCGCTTTTCTCGCGGGTGCCCCACGCGGAGCGCACGCACGCGGCCGCGCACCCACGGGGCCGCGTAGCCCGGAGGCCAGAGTGCGAGGGCGTGGATGTGTCGGATATTGGAACATCTGCACTGCCATCATGGTTTTTTTTTCAATCCCAGGATTTTTTGAAGGTCGGGGACGACTTCGGGGTGGTCTGGTGTACGTATTATACGTGTTTCACCCGTTCCCCGGGGAAGCCACGAAAACCGCATGCACCAGGCTCCCGTATACAGACCAGGATCGGCTTGTCTTTGTGCAGGTGTCCGTGCAGGGCCGGCCAAAGCGTCGGTGTACATATAGAGAGTTCGGTTCCTTCGCGTGGACACGCTCGCCGCTCGGGTCCCAGACCCCGACGTCATGATTTGTTCATTACGTCGACCCCCTCGAGGTCCGCACCTCTTCCCCAGCACCGGATTTCCGGTCCCGAGGCCCGGCAAGGGCCCTGAGGGGGCTAAAATGGCGAAAAACCTCCCGTCATGACTTTTCCATTGCTCGAGGGGGCCTGGAGCTTGGCATGACTTTTCCATTGCTCGAGGGGGCCTGGAGCTTGGCCACGCACGAAACCGACAAAAAACACAGGGAATGGACGTCCGAGCGACGGCCAGGGAGAGGAGCTTCGGCCCAGCGGTGATCGGGGCGGGGCGGCGGCGAGCGAGCTGCCGCACCCCTTCTCCTGCGAGGCGGGGATTTATTCATACCCACCGCCTCCTCCTCCTCCTCCTCCTCCTCCTCCTCTCCTCCCTCCTCCTCCTCCTACTCCCCCTCCTCCTCCTTCCTCCTCCTCCTCCTCCTCCTCCTCTCCTCCTCCTCCTCCTCCTCATCCTCCTCCCTCCTCCTCCTCCTCTCCTCCTCCTCCTCCTCCTCCTCCTCCTTCCTCCTTCCTCCTTCCTCCTTCCTCCTTCCTCCTTCCTCCTCCTCCTCCTCCTTCTCCTCCTCCTCCTACGTCCCCGTGCCCCAGCGAGCGGTGGATATGGATAGATTTTGGCCCCCGGTGGCCCGCCGAGTATATTCATATCCGCCGCCTGCGAGGTCCCCGAACATTAATCCTCCAGGCGGTGGTCATGTACAAATGCCCGCCTGCTGCTGCTGCTGCTCGTGCGCCCCTCTCCTCCTCCACTCCTGCCCGGGGCGTGGGCACGACTCCGAGGGGGGCGTCTGCAGCGACCTCGCGCGAGAGACCGTGACGAGACTCCGCCGAAGCAAGAGCACAAAAAAACGCATCGGACTCTGGGCTGCCCCGGGTGTGGGCGGGAGGGGGGGGGGCATGCGCCGCCCCAGGACCCCGCGCTCGCGGCGCGCCTGCGCGGCGGCGGGCCCGCAGGCAGCCTGGCGCCGGGTTGGCCACGTGGCCTCTTCGGGGCGGTCGCTCTCTCTCGTCGAGGATCTCACGGTGCCTCTCCAGGTAGATTTCTGTCGGGCCTGTCCCTCTACCGGGGGAATCTTCGAAAGTAGTCACCAGAGATAGTCTGGGGGCTATTCGGGGATTTTTGGGGCATCGTTTGGGGTCTTTTTTTGAGCATTTGTTATTTTTCGTCCCAAATCCCCCTGTACGGGGACAGGCTCGACCTGAATGTAGGTAGACTTGACGAGCTCCCCCGCAAGGCCGTGCATCTCTCCGAGATCGGACCCCGCGCGCCCCCCAAATTCAGCCACGCGCAGAAAGGGGGCAGGGTTAAGTCGGGCACGTCCCTCCACAGACGGGGTCAATGCAAACGGGGGTCAGCCAGAGCGGGATCCTGCAGGGCCAGGGTCGCACGGACCCGGGCTTGGGCGCAGGATCCTGCAGGATCTTGCGGGATCCTTCGCATTGACCCGGGCTTGTGTGCAGGATCTCTCCCTCTCTCTGTCCTCTGTCCTCTCTCTCTCTCTCTCTCTCTCTCTCCCTCCCCTCCTCCTCCTTCTCCTTGTTTGGTCTGATCAGTTGCCACGTGCATATTTTGTCCATGCGCGCAGTCTACACGCATGCTGTACACTTCTGTCCCGCCTGCCCCTCAGGGGACCGCTCCGCCGGAGCTGGCACGCAGGCTGAACTGAACTGAACTGAACTTGGGCGCAAGATCTTGCAGTATACTGCAGGTCCTGACTGACCCTGGTCTGGGTTGACCCCGGTCAGAAGATCCCCGAGGTTGGCTACGCTGCCTCCTCGGGGGGCCTCGCCCGCCCCCCAAAGTCAGCCCACGCGCAGAGGGGGGAAGGGTGAAGTCGGGCGCGCCCCTCTACAGGAGGAGTATTCAAACATAGTCCAAAAATAATCGGGGGACAATGTTTTGACTATTCATGAGCATTTGTTGACTATTTTGGATTCTTCGTCCAAAATCCGCCTGTAGGGGGACATGCCCGACCTGAGGGTAGGGGGAGGGGGGTAGGGCTTCTTAGAAGCACCCCTGCTTGTTAGAAGGCGCGGGCCTTGTCTGCAGATGTGAGGTTCGCGCCTTCTTCTGAAAAGCAGCCCCCTTCGAAGAAGCCTTCCCCCCTCCCCTCTACCCCCCTCTGCGCGCCGCCAAATGTCCCCAAGATTGGTGTCTCTTCTTGTACCCGACGCGGGCTCGATGCGGACTCGACGCGGATTTGGCGTGGATTCGACGCGGATTCGACGCGGGTTCGGCACGGATCTGACGAGTCCGACATGGATTCGACTCGGATTCGGTGCGGATAGGGCCGCGACGGGGCAGAAAAGGTCCTTTGAGGATGCAACATAAAATCGGAGGAGATTCCGGAGGGACTCGACGCGTTTGCTGTGCGTGCCAGGGTTTTGGTACGCTGCCACCCCTGGTGTTTGGAGCTCGGCCTGGCGGCGCCAAAGAAGACGTAAGCACGGGAAGAGAGGGAGCACTCGTTGACAGATGCGATATGGCACGCCCCGAGCGCCGACTCCTTCAATGTTCGGCGGGGCGCTCGTTTCTGCATGCAGGAGCAGAGTTGAGGCTGGCGGCGCAACAACCAGTGCATGTGTAACTACACCACTCGAGACGAAACACTTTCGGAGGTCCGCGCGGGCTTATTGGATCGCCTCTGGGTCTCCCTGGCGGCGCCTCCGGCGCCGCCCATGGCGCGCTCTCCGCGTGTCAGGGACAGGGGTCCAGCACTCAGCCAGGACATCCGCGCGGATTTGTGTTTTTGCTTTTGGCTGTTCCTCTAACCGCGTCGTTTGGTTGGGCAACGAATTGAGGATCTACACGAAGGATTTCGATATGTATATATGTATATATATATATATATATGTATATATACATATGTATACAAGGCTGCATCGGCGCTGCGCGCCATGCGCCTTGGCCCTTTGGAATTCGCACGCTAGCGGAGTGCGAGCGTGCGTACATGCGCACACACATGCGTGTATGAATGCATCGTACATATGTACATTATATATATATATATATGTGTGTACGTTTGTATGGATATGTACATTATATGCAAATGGTCAGTGTAACTATGTGTGCGCATACACATGCTTATATCAGGCGGTGTGGCCTGACCAGCTGCTCACATCATCGCGCCACTAAAAGGCGCGAGGGTTTCAGGCAAACGTGGCCAGACTACCATGGGACAGTGCGTCGCCGAGGTCAGTGTTGCGAGGACGTCCCGGGTGAAAATGGCTTGAACACCTCCGCTCAGGGGAGGGCATATCCGAAGTCAGCCGTGCGAGGAAGTTTCAAGCGAGGAGTGGTCTGAACACTTCTGCTCAGGGCATCCTTGAACTTAGAGTTGCGAGAAGTCGCACGCGAAAGTGGCCGAACCACCATGGTGCAAGGCACCTCCGAAGTGAGACTTGCGAGAGTGTCTCAGGCGACAGTAGCTGGAACACCTCAACTGAAAGCGTCTCGGGCCCCAGAGCTGCGATGATGTCTCAAGCGAAGCGGCGGGACGGATGCGAAGCAGGGCGCTTCGTCCGGATGAGATGGTGTCGTGGCCCCGACGGTTTGTATTGAGTGATGCGAGAAGCTCAGTCGAGGCGGGAGGAGGAGCATGAAGAGGATGAGGAGAAGGAGGAGGAGGAAGGAGGAGGATGAAGAGGAGGAAGAGGATGAAGAGGACAGATTATGTGGATATTTGGGGCGCGGCCGAGGTGTCGCGGAAGAAATCCGCAGCAGAGACTTGGGAGAGTGAGGAGAGCTGCTTCTGCTAGACCTTTGGCGGGGCGGAACGTGAAACATCACGGGGGATTGGGAGAAGGAGGAGGAGGGCGTAGAGGAGGAAGAGAATGAGGAAGAGGAGGAGGAGCTCTTGGGTCCTTCGGTGGTTTGAACGAAAAATGGCTTCGCTGCGCCATTTGATACGACAACGACGACGACGAAGAAGGCGACGACAAAGAGAAGGGATAATGAGAGGGGGACGCCGCTGCGTTGGGATCTCGTGGTGCGCCTCTCGGGGCCCTCTGGGAGGCACAGTTTTGAAGCCTCTTGGGGGCGTTTTGGGGTTCTCGGGATTTTTTTTGGGCCTCTTGGGGGCCTCCTGGGGGCTCATTGGGGCCTCTTGGGAGCCTCTTGGGGCCCCAATGGGGCTCTCTCCGGGCGTCGTGGGGCCCTCTCGCGGCGGAAAATTTAGTTTTTGAGCTTTTGGGCGCCCTCTTAGGTCTCTCTTGGGGCCGTCTTGGTGCTCTCTTGGGCCGCCTCTTGGGCGGTCTCGGAGCCCCCCTGGACCGCGTCGGGGCCTTTTGGGGGGCCTCTTGGGTAGTAGTGGGGCGATCTAGGGTGCCTTTTGGGCCATTGCGGAGCCTCGGGAAGCGGGAAAAGCGAGAAGGCCAAACATATCGAAAAACCACACGTGGAAATCAGCAGTTGTAGCTTCTCGGGGCTCTCTTGGGTGGCCTCTTGGGGGTCTCTGGGGGCGTCTTGGACGCGTCTTGGGCAGTCTTGGGCCCAGATTGGGCGTTTTTGGCCGATCTGTGGGTGTCTCGGGGCCCTTTTTGACCGTCGTGGGTTTTTTTTTTTTTCGCGTCGCACTCGCAGGACAGACACGAAACACTCTGCCGGAGCGCCCCAAAGGCTCGGGGAGGCCGAACTTTGTTTTTTTTTGGGGGGGGGACTGTGCGCCGCTTTTCCGGGGTCCGCGGCCCTGTAAAAATATATAAATAGGAATAGACGCCCCAGCATCTCGCAGATTGGGAAGCTGGGGCGTCTGTGCACCGAGCCCCTTCGCCGACCAGACGAGCTGATGTGTATGTCGAGCCCCTCCCAAGCTTGGGAGGGGGGAGAGTGAGGAACAGAAGCAGGGAGGAGAGATGTCGGAATATGTCGGAGGAGGAGGAGGAGGAGGAGGAGGAGGAGGAGGAGGAGGGAGGAAGAACCATTCTTCACTACGAAACGCCCCTCCGCCCAGTTGAAGGACGACAGCCCCATGGGCCTACCATCCGAGCAGGAGCCGCGTTTTGAAAAGGAATTGCTCTCCATCGGTCTGGCGACCCTGACGTGCAGCGGATGGCGATCATAACGTCGCAGGGGATCTCAAGCGGGAGTCCGCGTCGGGAACGAACCGCCCGTCACCCGTGTAATTGACGCATACCAGAACATGTCAGACTGTAGTTTCGCTGTCGACAGGGATGCTCCCAGTATCCGTTCAATTGCCTCTCAGCTTTACATGCCTGGCCAAACACACTCGGCTGTATTTAGAAATGCCACCATCACGACAAGGAGCCACACTCCATCTGTGCAGCTGGTTGGGACTGCTACGTGCGGCTTTAAGGCGAAACGTGTTGAAAACCACCCGCCATCCACCCTTGTGTTGATGACTGGAACGTTTAAATTAAACGGATGTGGGCGGCGCTGAAACGAGAGCCACGGTTTGACCCCCAGTTCCGTATAATTTTTGTTGGAGGTTGTAAGTTTCAGGGTCAGAAGTGGCGAGGAGTATTATTCGCAGCGCTTGGGAGGAGGAGCTGTTTGTCAGGGGACAGGGGTAAGGGCAGGAGGCGGGAGAAGGGATGTGCCAGCAGTGCGGATTGAGCGGTGGGGGGCGCGAGAGGAAGCACAGTCATCGCGTTAGCATAAGGAGCGAAGGACCTTTTCTCGTAACGGCGAGCCTCGTCCACGATCAGGTTCCCCAGTCTTGGTCTCAGGCACGGCTTGGAAACCAGAACCCCTCCTGAACCCGAAGTGGCCCTTTGTTTCAGCGTATTGACTGTACGAAGGAGGCCAGGGCCCCGACTTCAGCGCCGATTTCACTGATGATGGAGGGAGGGGGGAGGCTGGCACTTGGGGGAGGAGCTCAGGTTGCGTCCTGGGAGTACCTCCTGCTTCTTTGCCCACCGCCGAGGAGTTCGTTACTCGGGATGCCTTCGCATCGTTTGCTTCAGGGTCGGGATGCAGTAGATGAGGAGGGGGAGGGGAGGGGAAGGGGGAGGAGGATAAAGAAGTTAAGAAGGAGGGGTGGGTTGCGGAGGCGAAGGACTAGGGCGATGAGATGGGGATGAGGGAGGTGGAGGGTGAGGAGGAGGGGAGGAGGGAGACATGACCGGACACGCATGACCGAGCATGTAGTCACCTATTGATACTTGGTGGCCACACGAGGCACATGTAGCCGAAATAATGAGGAGCAGAAGAGCAGGTCGTGGTGAATGAGGAGAAGGAGGAAGAGTAGGATAAGACGCTACAGCCAACCATGTGCTCAAGTCCGTGCGATGTCATTAATGAGGCAAATACTGACTTAAGCAGCGATGAGGAGGAGAAGGAGGAGGAGGAGGAGGAGGAGGAGGAGGAGGAGATAACAGGAGGCGAGAAAGAGGGGACCAGGTTGAGGAGGAGGAGGAGGAGGAGGAAAGCGTCTTCCGCCTGGCCCTCTTGAGCTTCGATGGATGAGGAGGTGCAGCGACCCTGCAGAGTGCATGCCTATCGCCGAGCCAACCTCTTCAGACATAGGCCGCACTTGTGAGCGAAGAGTTCACCGAGGGCTGCATGTTTTCGCGGGCGCCCCGCGCGGAACGTGTCCGTGCGACCACGCCCCGCGCATTGACGAGATCGCGAGAGCGGAGTCCAGACCGCGAGGGCGTGGATGTGGAGGCGTGCGCCGCTCGTGAGGGTGCCCTCTGCAGTCTGTCCTTCGGCGGCGAGCCCGTGGGGGGGAGGCAGAGGCTCGCCCAGAAGGCTCGGGAGGAGGACGAGGAGGAGGGAGGAGGAGGAGGAGGAGGAGGAGGAGGAATAATAATAATAATAAGAATAATATTAGTACTAATAATAACGATAATAATTATAGTAATGATAATAATACTAATAATAATAACAATAATAATAATAACAATAGTAATACTAATAATAATAACAAATAATAATAATACTTATAATAATAAATAATAATGATAATAATAATAATAGTAATAAATAATAATAATAATAATAATAATAATAATAATAATAATAATAATAATAATAATAATAATAATAATAATAATAATAATAGTAATAATAGTAATAATAGCAATAATAATCACAATCTTCCGAGAAGGCCTGCCTGAGCCGTCTGAGAAGGCCTGCCCCCCCTGCACTTCTTTCCAGGCCTTCCAGGAGGAGAAGGGGTCGGAGCAGACGGGTCGGAGGACCACTCCGCATCGCCGATGCGTCTGCGATGCGGCTCGACGTGCAGCCCGCTTCTTCTCCACGCCCATGCGTCGCCGATGCATCGCCGATGCGGCGCGATCCTCCGACCCCGTCTGCTCGGACCCCACCTGGGAGGCCCCTGCTCTTCCACTGGCGCCCCGCCGAGTCGTGGCTGCAGGCTGCCGCCGGCGTGCCACCCGAGCCCCTCCCGCGCGGCCAGGTGGCGCGCCCGGCGGGCGCCAGGAGCTGCCCTAAGCACCGCCCCCGCGCGGCGGGCTGGGCGTGAGGGCTCCCTGCCTCGGCGGAGCGGGGGTGCCGCTCCGGGAGGCGCCCGAAAAGAGAAGGGGTCGACCACGCGCAAGGTTGGGTCGGGCACGTCCCTCTGCAGCAGGAGGATGCAAACAGAGGCCACAAGCAGTCCGGGAACTATTTTTTGTTCGTATGTCTGGGCATCTTTTGAATCTTGTCTGAGTGTTTCTGACGTTTCGTCCAGAATCCCCCTGTATGGGGGACACGCCCGACCGAAACGCAGGAGTGGCCCTTCGCCGGAGTGGCCTCCTGGTGCGGGCCAGGTGGGGTCCCTCGAGCGCTGGCCGCGATGCGGTGGCAGCGCCTGGCGCGCCTGTGTGTGCTTCGCCCCCCCCCGCGGCTAACCCCGAAGGGCGCGCACCAGAGGTCGCTCGTGCCCAGGGGCACGCCTTGCGTGTACAGTGGGGGCCTTGGCATCGCTCGGACGTGTGCATCTTTCCATCGGCGAGGACCATCGAGGAGCATCCTTGATCATTTGGCGAAAAAACCACGCACGAAACCGAACAAAAACTCAGGGAATGGACGTCCGAGCGATGGCGAGAGGCGCGCATCAAGAAACCATATGCTTTTCGTCGGGGTGTCCTGGGTTTCTCTTCGCTCTTCGCGCGGCTTGGTGACTTCCCGCGGCCCGTTGGAAGGAGCTGCTGCGCTCAGGGTGCGCCAGGCTTCCCCATCAGGTGAACCTCGCGCACGGGCTCTCAGGGCTGGGTTTCTTGCGAGGGTTTCTTGCGGCCGCGCCCGCACTGTAGTCGACAGGTCGCGCGCGCGCGCGGAGGAGGTGGGGGGCTTGGGGATCAGAGGAGGACGGGATGCTGATGCCGCTGCGCTTGCTGGAGGGCCCTTATCGCCACGGCTGGATTCTCTCCGAGGTTCAGGTTTTTGTGGGTGCATCTTTGGAGAGGTCCGGGCAGCAGCGGTATCGACACCTTCTGTCCTAGGAAGAGGAGGCGAAGGACTACGCCAGCTAGAGGAATTTAGAGAGAGCGAGAGACAGAAAGTGGGAGAGAGGAAAACAGGGGAGGGGGAGGGAAGAGAGGAGGGACGAGGGAAGAGATGAGGGACAATCAGGCAGGAGGAGGGAGAAGCATGGAGCATGCACCAGGGAGCACCGGCCAGGGAGCATTACACATAGGGACTAGAATCCTTGGGAACCTTGGAATGAGGAAGCGCGGTTAGGTAGGAGATGAGGGCTGGGGTTGGTAATAATAGCACAAATAATACTAATAATACTAATACTAATAGTAATAATAATAATAATAAAAACAATAATAATAATAATGATGATGATGATGATGATGATGATGATGATGATGATGATGGTGATGATGATGATGATGATGGCGATGGTAATAAGGAAGATGACGAAGCTGATGAGGATGATGATGAGGATGAGGATGAAGATGATGCGGATGCTGCGGATGCTGATGATGATGATGAAGATGATTATGATGATGATGCGGTTGATGCTGATGATGGTGATGTTGATGATGAAGGTAATCATGATGATGATGTGGATGATGATGATGATGATAATGATGATGATTACTATGCAGACCACGATGATGCTGATGATGACCACGACGATGATGATGATGATGCTGATGATGATGATGACGATGCTGATACTGATGCTGCTGCTGATCAAAATAACGATGCCGATGATGATGACGACGATGAATAAGGCGATGTCGATGATGAGGTGATGCGGATGATGCTGGTGATGACGATGATGATGATGTTGATGATGATGATGATGATGCTGATGATGATGATGATGATGATGTTGCTGCTGATGATTACGGTGATGGTGATGATGGTCATGATGATGAGGATGTGATGCTGATGCTGCTGCTGATGATGATGGTGCTGAAGATGTCTGTGATGGTGATGGTGGTGATGGTGATGGTGATGATGTTGCTGATGATGATGATGATGATTATGATGCTGCTGCTGATGCTGATGATGATGACGATGATGATGAGGAGGAGGAGAAGGAGGATGAGGAGGAGCGGAAGAGGAGGAGCAGGAGGAGGACTGCGAACAGGAGGAGGAGGAGGAGAAGGAGGAGCAGGAGGAGGAGAAGGAGGAGCAGGAGGAGGAGGAGGGGGTAGGAGGAGGAGGAGGAGGAGGAGGAGGAGGAGGAGGGGGAGGAGGAGAGGCCGAGGGATTGTGGAGCCCCTCGTCGATTGCATACGGTTTTTATCGAGTGAAACACTTCTCCATCCTTCAAATTTGATTGTTTCTTACATGTTTCTTGTCGCCGTGACCCCCTCATACTAGTCTTGTCGCGTTAGATCGTTCTCTAGTGTTCTCTCTCTCTCTCTCTCTTTGTCTCTCTCTCTCTCTCTCTTTGTCTATCTCCTGCACCAGGCCAACGCATGGCGATGCGATACGCATCCATCCCCAACCAACACCAATGCCAATGCAATGCCAATGGGGGAATCCCTTCGTTCGGTAGATTCCAATAAGAATACTTTGTGGATGATGTCATTACGAATCCTTCTTCGGAGGATGTCAATAGCAATGCTTATGTGTAGGGTTTCGATAAGGATCCTCATGTGGAGGGCATCGCTAGGAATCCTTCACGTGGGGGGGATCTAATCGGAATCGTTCTTGAATGGGGGTTTCAGTAGGAGTCCGTCTGCGGAGGGAACCATTAGGACTCGCCAGCGCGATGCCAACGCACTGCTAACGCACTGCCATCGCAATGCCAAACCAATGCCAAGGCGATCCCAATTCAATGCCAATGCAATACCAATGGGGGTATCCTTTGTGGTAGGTTCCAACAGGAATCCTACCTGTGGAGGGTTTCGAGTGGAATCCTTCCGTGGGGGGGGGGGGGGTCAGTATGGATCCCTCACGTGGGGGTTTTCAAAAAGGATCTTTTTTTTGTGGAAGGTAATGAATCGCTCTGTGGTGGGAGCCATTCGAACTCGCCAGCGCAATGCCGAAGCAGTGCCAACGCAATGCCAAGCCAATGTCAGTGCAATGCCAATGGGGGGAATTGTTCGTGGTAGCGTCCAATAGCAATCCTTCTAAGAACACTTCTTCGGGGCATTTCACTAGGAAGCCTTATATGGAGGGCTTCGCATGAAACCATTATGTTGATGATTTCAAAGTGAATCCTTCGCGTTGGGGGGGGACTAAATAGACATCCGTTTTGTGGGGGTGTTCACTAGGAATCCTTCTGTGAAGTGTTTGGGTAGGACTCGCCAGCGCAATGTCAACGCAATGCCATCGCACTGCTAACGCACTGCCATCGCAATGCCAATGCAATGCCAAAGCGATCCCAAACCAATGCCAATGCAATGCCAATTGGTAGTGGCCTGTATGGTCGATTCCAAAAGGAATCCTACCTGTGGAGGGTTTCGATTGGAATCCTTCCGTGGGGGGTTCCAGTGTGAAATATTTTCAAAAAGACCCTTTCTTGTGATGGAAGGTGAAGAACCGTTCTGTGGTGGGAGCCGCTCGAACTCGCCAGCGCAATGCCGAAGCAGTGCCAAAGACATGCCAAACCAATGCCAATGCAATGCCAATGGGAGGAATTGTTTGCGGTAGCTTTCAATAGCAATCCTTCTAAGAGCCTTTTTTCGGGGGGATTCACTAGGAACCCTTTTCATGGAGGGTTTCGCACGGAACCCTTCTGTTGAGGATTCAAATTTGAATCCTTCTTGTGGGGGAGATTAAATAAACATCCTTTTTGTGGGGGTGTTCACTAGGAATCCTTCTGTGAAGTGTTTGAGTAGGACTCGCCAGCGCAATGTCAACGCAATGCCATCGCACTGCTAACGCACTGCCATCGCCATTCCAACGCAATGCCAATGCGATGCCAAACCGTTGCCAAACCAATGCCAATGCAATGCCGATGGCGGAATTTATGTCTTCCGACAGATTTCACTAGGAATATTTAGGTGGACGATTTGGTTACGAGTCCGTATGTGGAGGATTTCGATCAGAATCCTCCCGTGGAGGGTTTCGATTGGAATCGTTTTGTGGGGGGGTTACTTTGAACCCTCCGTGTGGGGACTTTCAAAAGAATCTTTTCGTGTGCAAGGTGTTCACAGGAACCCTTCTGTGGGGGGGGGGCATTAGAACTCGCCAGCGCGATGCCAACGCAATACCAACGCAATGTTAAACCAATGCCAACGCGATCCCACTTCAATGCCAATGCAATGCCAATGTGGGAAATCGTTTGTGATCGGGTTCAAGAAGAATCCTCTGGAGGATTTCGAATGGAATCCTTCCGTGGGGGAGCTCAATGTGAACCCTTCTTGTGGGATGCTTCAATCGGAATCCTTGTTGTGTGGGGTTCAACGGGAATCATTCTGCGAAGGGAGGTGTTGGAAGTCGCCATCGCAATGCCAGCGCAGTGCCAACGCAGCGCCAACGCAATGCAATACCAATGCCGCGGCGATCCCAACCCAATGCCAATGCACTGCCAATGGGGGAAACCCCTTGTGGTAGATTTCAATAGCAATCCTTCTGTGGAGGGTTTCGCATGGAATCCTTCTGTGGAGGGTGTCAATATGAACTGTTTTTGTGGATGGTTTCAATAGGAGTCCTTCTTGTAGAAGGTTTCGATCGGAGTCCTACTGTGGAGGGTTCCATTAGTACTCGCCAGCGCAACGCCTGCGAAATGCAAGCACACTAGCAACGCACTGCCAAGCGCAATGCCAACGCGATGCCAATGCGATGCCAAACCATTGCCAAACCAATGCCAATGCAATGCCATCGGGGAGTTCTTTCTTTCGAAGCATCTCAATATCAATCCTTCTGCGGGTGATTTCAATAGGAACCCATCATATGTGGAGGATTTCAGTAGGAATCATTCTGTGGAGGGTTTCGATCGGAATCCTTCTGTAGAGGATTTCACTGTGAATCCTTCTTGTGGGGGCGTTCAATAGGAACCCTTCTAGGGGGGAGGGCCGTGAGAGAGTTCAATGTGAACCCTTATGGCGAAATGCTTCAATCGGAATCCTTCTTGTGGGGGTTCAACAGGAATCATTCTGCGAAGGGAGGTGTTGGAA